TTTAAGTTATTCATAAGGTTTGTATCTCATGGTCACCTTTAATAATGCAATATACCCTTTTTTATTGAGTTCATTGAGCTTCAGAGACAGGAAGTGACGCAACTAATGATTCTTTTTATTTTTCATAAAATAGTGACTAACAGATTCTGAAGGTAACAACTTTATTTGTCTTATTTTATCTGAAGGACAGTTTGCTGTCACGTCCTGTCCACTTTATTCATATAAACCTTTCTAGCAAATGGAAACACAGTTTTGCTCAGCTGGAAATAAAAACAGTGACAACAATAAAATGTAAAACACCAGAGAGACAAATAATGTAAAAAACTAAGATTAAAACCTAAAAACGAAGGCTATAACATTACTTCAAAGTAAAAGCCAGCTCCTTAACTTCCTTAATTTAGCCTAGTTTTAGTTTTAGTTCAGACTGAAGCGATCAGTCAAAGATCAAAATCATCGATAAATCACCGATCGTTGCAGCTTGGTTTTATAATTTATAATCGTTAGCTGCTGCTCTACTTTTATTTAATGAAGTATAATTTGGGGCTGTAGAGTGCCGAGCAGCAGGGTGGAGAGCTCCCTGACCTCTGACCTCTGACCCGGTGACCTGCGGTTGTGTTGAGGAGTTAAACGTTAATCAGGTCGGTCACAGAGCTCAGACGCTTCCTCGTGTCAGGATGATCTGAGGTGAAGTGAGGGAGGAAAGATGGCCGACAGCTGAAGCACTCGTGAAGAGAAACCACTCGCTGCCAATTAGCTTTCTGAGAGAGTCTCAGTTTAATCTTTATTACAGACGAGTCAATGTGTGTCTGTTCTTTAATCTGCAGTCCGACTGCAACTCAGACCTTCAGCAGCCATCAAATAATCAGCTTTTGGCTTTGTGGCCGAGATAAGATTGTTAGAAATATCGATTATTCTACAGTGGGAGTACAGAGAATATAAAACTATCTTTCTATCCTTGATGAATAAACTTTCACATCAGAGTAAAGATCTGTACTCTCTAAAGGTCCGGTTTCTCCGGTTTCTGTCCTCAGGCTGAACTCACCGTCTCCCCATCGAGTCCATCAGCTGTGACGTCGCCTCAGTCTCCAGGTGATAGTCCGTACCCGGCCTGTATGCAGCCTGTCCAGGGCCCGGCCTAATTCCTGGTGCTCCTTCTTTCCCACCACCTCCTCCTCCCTCCTTTCCCTACCCTCCTCCCCCTCCACACACACACACATTGGTGTCTCACACACCAATTCCCAGAGTTTAGCCCGGACCGGCGGCCTGGCTGGCTGCCCCCCTACAGGTGGATGAATGAAGACCCCTTTCAAGAGCCCAGCGGCCCCGCGGCCCCGAGCAGACGGGGGTGAGTCACTGCTGATAACTGGTCGTCTGAAATAATAATTTTGATGTTTTATTTTGTGAGTTTGGTCGAAACACTTCCTGTTTTGCTCCTGACTCACTAACCCGAGTGTCCTTGAACGCACCGCCTATCAGTACGATGGTTGAATGTTGTGTTTGTGTTTCAGGACATTCAGGCGTTTCTGCAAACATGATGAAGAAAAAGAACTCGCACAAGTAAGTCTGGTTTCTGAACTCCCTCTCTGTCCTTCACCTTTACGTCAGTCATCGTCCTTTTCTCTCATGTGTTCCCTCTTTCTCTGTCCCTGCAGGAAACAGAGGACCAGTGTTGGTCCCAGTAAGACTCTGGCTCAGCCCAGAAGGAACATAGTGGGCTGCAGGATCCAGCACATCTGGAAGGAAGGCAGTGAGTTGGATTACTTCGTGCTCGTAGTGTCGGGGGAGTCGACCTAAAAATCTCCTTCATTTCACGTTTAACCGATAAATGTGTGTTTGCGTCCTCTTAGGTAAGTCGTCCCAGTGGAAGGGGACGGTCCTGGACCAGGTCCCTGTTAACCCCTCCCTCTACCTGATCAAATACGACGGCTTCGACTGCATCTACGGCCTGGAGCTGTACAGCGACGAGCGGGTGGTGGGGCTGGAGGTCCTGCCCGACAGAGTGGGTGAGGAAGGGAGGAAGTCGGAGGGTGTTTCAGAGTTTGATCACAGCAGCACCTGGTGGACGTTAGAGGAACTGCAGCTCAACTTTCTAACTGTATTCAGGGATTTTGGTGAAACTGAATCAGTTTTTATGGAGAAAATGTTTCCTGGTTTTCTCTCTGACGTCCTCCGGCTGCTCAGCTTCAACTCTCTGTGATTCACAGAGTTTCCTGATGGAGCTTTAGCTAAAGTAGCTAAGGTAGACGTTGATGTTAGCTCCTTGCGGTCGGGGTTAAAAAGTACACTCTTATACACCGCACTCTGCTAACGTTATAGTTTTATTGTACATATATTTCTATCTCTGTATCGTTGGACTAAACCTTTCTGTTTACCGCTGAGGTGATGATGTCCGTTCAAACGCCCTCTCTGCCTCTCTGTGATTGGTCCAGCTCCGGCCCGTGTGAGCGACTCGATGCTGGCGGAGACGATGATCGGGAAAGCGGTTGAGCACATGTTCGAGACGGAGGACGGGCCGAAGGAGGAGTGGAGGGGGATGGTGCTGGCCCGGGCTCCCATCATGACCTCCTGGTTCTACATCACCTACGAAAAAGACCCGGTCCTCTACATGTACCAGCTCCTGGACGACTACAAGGAGGGAGACCTGCGCATCATGCCCGACTCCAGTGAGTGACTACCGGTTCTACTGGACCAGAGTTCATTTCAGCACCTGATTCACTTTTAGTCGACAGAAAATGTGAGAGAATGTAATATTTTAATCATTTTACCTCATCGTCTTCTTCTCCGAGGTTATTTTTATTTAGTCGACTAACGTGTCTACATGAGTTAGTACCAGCCGCTCACCTCTCTCTCTCTCTCTCTCTCTCTTTTTCTCTCTCTCTTTTTCTCTCTTTTTCTCTCTCTCTCTCTCTCCTCTCTCTTTCTCTTTCTCTCTCTCTCTCTCTCTCTCTCTCTCTGTAGATGACACTGTGGCGGCGGAGCGGGAGCCCGGCGAGGTGGTCGACAGCCTGGTGGGCAAACAGGTGGAGTACGCCAAAGAGGACGGCGGGAAGCGGTCGGGTATGGTCATCCACCAGGTGGAGGCCAAGCCCTCCGTGTACTTCATCAAGTTCGACGACGACTTCCACATCTACGTCTACGACCTGGTCAAAACCTCCTAAGGCCCGAAAACCCGGTCCGGGACTCCCCGAAAAAAAAGACTTAACCGAGACCTGCCTAGACCCACCGAACACCCCACCAGAACCCCCCAGTGAAGAACTCCAGCTAGGGTTTAAAACATCTTGAGACTCCCCGCGATGTACGGAGACGCCTGAGACAGACGATATCCATTCTTCACTTGTTCTTTTATCAAACGCCTTAAAAAAAAGAAAAACGATGGAAGTTCAGCCCCGTCACCAAGACCGAGACCAGCTACTAGACTCACTGCGGTGGATCCAGTCATCATCATTTTATCCAGATTTCTTTAGACTCTTTCAGGACGCTTCCTCCGACATCTTCTGAAACGTAAAAACTGGTTCGAGAGCCCCGAAGAAGACCGAGCGATCCGGGTTTATTTGGATGAGCTGAAACTAAAATCGCACAAAAAGAAATCTGGTTCAGTTTGAGAGTTTTGACTTCGACAACCTGAGACGTCCTGAGATCATTCGTTCCAGAGTCAGAGCAGGTCTGGAACCACAGAAAGACCTCCTCCCCCTTTTCCTGAAACCCTGTCAGACCGTTAGAGACCTCCGCTGTCAGAGGAAGGGGGTGGACAGGTCTGAGTCTGCCGGGGTTAATGAAGGGATGGGACTTACAGGAATACAGCGCCCCCCCTGTAGATGAAGCTGAACGCTCGTCTGTCTTCTTCATCACGGGAGGAGCTCGTGTCCAATCACAGAGCATCTTACAGGCCCCGCCTCCCTGCAGGTCACCTGACCCACAGAGACTGAGGCTGAGTGGAAAAAACCGGAGGACACAGACTCTTTTCTTCTTCCATTCTTTTATCATTTGTCTTTTTCCTGTTGCTGTCGATTCCTACATTACCCATAATGCCTTTTACTGGGAGAGGCTCAGGTGATCAGGCATCGGTCAAAATGGCCTGTTAGCGCCGTTAGCCGTCCTTATGAAGCCGGCTAACTGCTAGTCACAGGTAGCGCTCGAGGCTGCTGCACAGATTGAGTTTGAGTAGGGATGCTAATGATGCTAACGAGCTGTTGTTTAAGTTTAATTAAAGAGCATTAAGTCCGTTTCATTTGTTGGGGAAACTTTTCTGTTGAGCAGTTTTAGCTTTTTCTAGTTATTTAAACAAAATGTCAACAATGAAGCTTTGACGGATTCTGATGTTTTTCACCTGTAATCAATATTTTTATGTTTGTGCCAAAAAGTATTAAATGTTTCAGATAAACCAGGATGATAAAACATAATAACTCACTAAAGAAAATATCTTCTTCTCATGAAACACAGCAGCATTTTGGGAAATCCTCTTGTTTATCAGATGGAATCAATAAAAAGATCAGATCAGTTATTGATACTGTCCAGGATGTGTCAGGGTAGCACTTCTCCTATTATTTGACATTCATAAGCAGTTTATTTAGTAATTAAACACACTTTAATGTAGTTGTAAGCAGATAGAAGGCAAGTGTTTGTGTTTATTAAGAATTATAACATCTCCTGTGTGGACATATTTTATATTATCACAGTGTTTTACTGTCATTATTATACTCAGGAGGAGTTATAGTTGTTACCTAATACATTAATCAACACTCAGCTGCTTAAACTTACATTATAGTGTGTTAGAAGCCATTTATTACACTTTGTTTACTTATGAATGTTAAATGTTAAAATAAAGAGTAAAGCCTGGAAACAAAAGATTTCCCAGAATATCCAAATGTTCCTTGAACGTCTTCCCTCAGACAGCTGATCGGATATCGATCGGTTCGAGAACAATCAATCCTAAACAATCGCTGGACCTGCGTGAAGGTTAAACTGTAGCAGTGGCCCCGCCCCCCTATCTTGAGTGCTGTTTTCTGATTGGCTGGACTCTCCTTGTGGTTCGTTACGGACCAAACCTGCTTCAACCGATGGATTTATGGTTTCTATGTTTTTATAAGAAGTTGTTCTGCTCTCCCGCGGACGCGCTTTGTCTATATGTTGATATTAGCGCCAGTTCCTTTGTGTGTTATCTGTTCTTTGCTTTTATTTCACCTCATGTTCTGTTCTGTGTCGACTGTTCTACGACCCGGTCACCTGTAGGAACCTCTCTGACGGTATCTGCTGGTTCGGTCCCAGCTGCAGCTCCGGTGACCTGGCGGGTGTGTTAATACTTTCTGTGACTCTGGACTGCGGCGCTCCTCTCCAGTCATCTCACATCGCTCCAACGGCGTTCAGTCGGGAGGGCGCCGGAAAGATATTTGTCATTCATCTCACTTCCCACAATGCCGTGCTCTTAGCTGATGTAGCTCCGCCCACCACAGGAGGTGACATCACTCGTGACATTAGCATAAACAGCCATGTTGCCTGATCCACATCTCGTGTGCCTGAAGGGACTCGAAGGTAAATCTCATTCTGGATCCCGACCTAGAACATTCCGGGTTCCGGTCCAACGTGAGTTGTTCTGATCCAACGATGTAGAACTTAAAGCAGCTGCGTCCCGTCACAATGTGTGGAACGTTCAGAACCCTCCCATTTTATCTTTCTGTGGACAGATTCAGACTCTAGAACTCATAACATTAACCTACAACCCACACGTACCCGTCCTAGAACACGCCCGGTTGGACATTTAAAACACTTGTTCTGATTCTGGAGTCAGAACGTTAAACACACTGCTCTAGAATGAGTTCGAGACATTTTTATACAAGAACCTGAAGGAAGAACACTTTTCCTTTACTATATTATTCTAGATTAAAAGATTTTAACACAGAGACTAGAACATTGTAGAACATGCATTTTCATCTCAGAACCAACCCCCTGGCTCCGATTCTAGAACCGGGCCCGGTTGGGGAACAAACTCTCATGCTGAGGGGTTCCAGAACATTTCGTGCAATTTTGTAAAACTCTTGTTCTGACTCGAGTCTCCATGTTTCTGTGTGTCTGTTCTAGAATCTGTCGTGTGGTTCTGGAACCCATTCTGACTCCAGCTTCTGGTTCTAGAACACAGAGACGAACGCTCTCCGATTCCAGAACACGTCCCGGTTCTAGAACAGTTCACTCAGATTTAAATCTCCACTGATTCGTAGCTGCTCTAGAATCAGTATCCCGTCGAAATGTGAGTCATTTTCCTACGAGAACCTTTTTCTGAATAACACTGAGAACCCGTTAGAACTCACAGCTTCAGGTTCTCGAGCACAGAGACGCTTTGTTTTGAAAACTGTAAAGAAATCTGGTTTGAATAGGTGTCGTTTTTTCCTAAAATACTAATTCCAGGACACGAAGACTAGAACGTCTCAAAGTCCACGTTCTGATTATAGAACAGTTCTGTTTGGGACAAACTCATTCCAGAGAGGAATAATTACTCTGATCTCAACATAACAAACATGTTTTCCAGATGTTAGAACATGTTTAGTTTCTCTGCAGATCTCAAAGCTATCGAAACCAAATCATTTTCTGATCACAAGAAAACAAACGATGTCACTCAGACTGTAGTTCGGTTCTTTAGTGCGAAACGTTTTCTGGTTCCAGCAGAAGATCTTTGTTTCAGAAGAGTTCAGGTCGCTCCCCGGTCTCTCCTCCGTCTGCCGTCACTCCGAGTCCCGCTCAGCTCGCTATCAGCCGCTGGCATCTGTTACAGTTGACCTGGATGTTTTGGGGGGCATTACCCACAACGCACCTGGCTTCGGGCTGATGAACCACAGGATGTTTAGACCGTAGTAAGACTCCTGGGTGGTGGGGGGGGGGACAAAAACCAGTGTCTGGGTGGATCTTTAGCCTCCATGATGTGGACATCAGTAGTCGTCTGTTCAGGAGCCGACACGCCGTTCGTATTTTACAGAAAAACATTGATGTGTGTGAGAGAGAGAGTGTGTGTGTGTGTATGTATGTGTATGTGTGTGTGTGTGTGTGTGTGTGTGTGTATGTGTGTGTATATGTGTATGTGTGTGTATGTGTGTATGTATATGTGTGTGTGTGTACGCAGCCCTGTTCAGAGCAAGTGTTTTTTGCATGCCTATATAGCTGCCGTGTAAATCGATGTGAGTTGCATGTCCAGTGTAGTTTGTCGGCTGACTGTCTGTGTGGCTTTGGTGCCTTTTCGTCGAGTTCTGTTTTTTTCTTTTCCCTGTTTTATTTGTACCGCTGGTCCAGAGGCTGCTGTTTTTTTGGGTTTGTTGACAAAAGATAGAAAAAGAAAGAATATCCCCCCGACAAACAGAAGTGGCAGCAGTATTATCATGTTTTTAAGAGTGAATGACGGGTGTAGATTTCTGTTTTTAGGGGGATCGTGCCCTTTAAAAAGAGTGCCAAACTACAGATGCCAGTGTTGTACACGCAGTGAAAACCACCTATTACTAAATAAACCATTTCTCTGTTTTTTTTCAGCGTCACGAGTCCTGTCAGTTCTTTCCACACACTGTATAATGATGTCATAGTCTCTGTGACCGCCCCCCCACAGGTTCTGAGCAGCTTCCGCAGCGATCCAGAAATGAGCAAGAGGTGGAGCTGAATGAAAGCATGGTAAAGATTATTTCTGCCATTGGACAGCTTAATATAGGGCCTTATGGAGACTGACTGACTGCTGGAGCCTCTAGTGGCCGTTAGAGGAACTGTAGGTTTTATTTGCAACCAGGAGGTTGCTGATTGGTTCTTCATGAACAACATCAACAAGTAGATCTTCAGTTCGGGGGCTCAACGAGAGGAGACGTTACTGACAGACAAGATTATTACAGTTCACTAAAACTAAAAACTAAATGTAGGTGTGAAAAAAAACATTTAAGTTTTAAAATAAAAACTAGACATGTCAACTTTCAACACAACAAAGATGAGGAGGCGTTGGTCTCTATAAAGCCACCGTACTCCAACTGCCGAGCAGACAGAGACGAGATGGTGAACATAGTGAAGACTGAATATTGGACTCAGATAAATGATCATATCGCTCCGTAAGTAACTGCTGGATGAGGAAATAAGTAATTATATAATAATAAATATAATTTTGATAACCTTTCAGCTTGAAGGTAGTGATGTGTTATTGTTAATAAAAGAGATAAGACTTTATTGATCCCGCAGCTCCAGATACAACACTATAGATAAACACATAAAACGAGTTACACTAAATACACCTTTTTATATATGGATATTATCGGTGGAACATTGCACTGATTATTGAATACAAATGTTGTGTAGCATTGTACTAATTATTATTATATATTATAATACTATATATTTATATATATGCATATATTTGCACAAAGATTACAACAGGAGGTAAAAATAAAAAAACTGCACAGCTAAAATATACAGCTAGTGTAATTTAAAGGACCAGTGTGCTGGATTTAATTCTCACATTGCAACTAATTGAACACCCCTATCTAGAACCAGTGTCCGTGGCTACGTCCCTTCGGCTACTGTAAAACATGGCAACTCCCCAAGAACGAGACCCGCTGCCTCTGTAGATAAAAGACGTCTCATTCTAAGGAAACGAAAATACAATGATTATTATTTTCAGCTGATTATAAACTAATGAAAACATATGTATGGATATTATATTTCTGCCAATAAATCCTTCTTAATGTTACACACTGGAGCTTTACAGGAAATATAGGATTTAAAGTAAGAATAATAATCTTAATGTGAATTATGGGATGCAATATGTATAATAGTATTTATATATTATGCATTATATAAAGGGAATGTATATTGAGTGTGTATAAAATAAAATGTAACTTGGTGGAGGTAAATATATGTTAAATAGTGCAAAAAAAAAGATCTGTGATGTTGAAAGAAAGGTTATTATAGTTAACTAAAACAAACTAAAAATTAAAACTAGGTGTGAAAAATAATTTTAGTTAACTGAAATAAAAATAAAAACTACACTTTAAAAAAAACAACAATGAACTGGAACAATATTGTATATTTACAAAGCAAAGTCAAATAAAAAATGTCAAAATGTTTTTGTCAATTTGGTCAAATTTGTGAACACAACAAGCAGAAGGAGGCGTTGGTTCATATGCTCATTGAGACTGGCTTAGTGTGTTTGTATTGTGATACATATTATGTAATAATTAATTAATATAATAAAAAACTACAACTTACACTGAAACTAACGGAAGCCTGTAGGTCATTATAATGAGAAACCTTCTCAAAATAATGACAATCCATAAAGAAAAGCTGAGAATGACAGGATCAGACTACAGGATCCTTTTCCCATCACATTGGCGGATTTGGGCTTCCATAGAAACTAATAAAAACTAAACTGAAACAAGTGAACACACTTTGTAAAATATCGAAATCTAAACTGACTTTAAAACAAAGATACAAAACATTAGTAACTGGTTGTGGAGGGTGATGACCTAATAATCTTTTATATAAAAATGTATTGTTTTCTAACCCTTCTACCAAAATAAATTAATACTATAACATCAATTTCTTACAAAATCCCACATCCACAAATCTAAATCTTCCAAATATAAACCATCTGTTTTAATTTAGACAGTGAAATTAAACAAACTGTAACAATAATAAAGCAATCCAAACTTTATTGAGCTTCTATCATTTATTTACCTAATGTAGGATTTCTGTCTAATAAAGTTTAATATAATATATAGTGAATATTAGAGGGTGCAGTTCCCCTTCGGGCCGCCAGGTGTCGCTTCATTAACCCGCGGTTGCTCCCAGAATGCACCGCTCCGGTTAGATTTATAAAACTTTCCGTTATTGTCGGTGAACGCGGTTATTAACGAGCGCGCGGAGCGGCGGGAGGTTTCCCGCTGTGACGACAGACTGCGGGAGGGTTAACGCATAAACATTGAGTATTACAGTGTGACACCGTGAGTGAACCCGCCGGGCCGCGGGAACTCTCTCACTCAGCGCCATGTTGAACGTTGTGATCTTTCTGGTTCATGAGAATGATGATTGGTGCGTTCACGGACCATCTGTGAAAGGTGCAGCCCAACCTTGTTACGCTCTGCGCCTCAGCCCGTCTGATCCTGAACCGGGAGGCTTTATTATTAAGTGTTTAAAGTTATAAATATCTGACTGTTAACGTCTGAGTTAAATTATTAAAATGATATTATAAAGAGAAGTTAGAGTAAAACAAACATGGCGGGGTTGTTTTATGGCGCATTAAGGACTTTATGTGTTAATATTTATGACGGAGTATTAGGGCCAAACTAAGAGGAAAATATATTTTTTGGGGGGAAATTACGAGAATAAAGTAGTAATTTTATGAGATCTGTCAGCCTGTTGGCTCAGCCAGTAAAACTGTTTAACGATGAAATGATCAATACGTTAGTTTACCTGTTGACTGAGACAAACAGCGGCTGCTGATTGGTCGAGCTGCTCACGAAGATCTTGAACTCTATCGAAGCTTTTCTCATTAAAACGATTATTATAATTACATTCTTGTATTGTTATTACTTTATTCTCGTAACATTACGACTTTATTCTTTTTGCTGTGAAACAAACAATTAAAACTTAAGTGGGCGGGGCAATCATCAACCAAGTATCGCGATACTTCCTCGCGTTGCCTTCACGGCTCCGAGATCTGGTCCATGCAAACAAAGATGGTGTCTCCCTGAGCGTCCATGTGGCTCACTGTGACAGACAGTTAGTCTCTATTAGTTCTTTAGTTCTTTAACTGGTTCAAACAGAAACAGTCGGCAGTGAAGCTTCTTTCAGCTCCGAGACAAACTCACGATGCAGCACGATGACGTAAGTTACATGAAGCTAATGTGCTAACTCCTCATGCTAACGGTAGCTTACCGGTAACCGGAGTAAAATCTTATAAATCCGGTTTATTTCTATCTATTGTTTAACAGTTTGACTGATTACTGATCAGTTATTGTCTTTACTAATTACATCCGGATACAAATGTGATGTTTTAACCGCGTTTGAGCAGTTAGAAGGGCCGAAGTGTCGGATGGGACCAGACTCCGTCAGAAAACGGTCCATTTAAAGGTTGTTCCGGTTCTGTGCAGACATCCACAGCCGGTAGAACCGGGTCGGTGCACACAGAGGTTGGGTCCTGTGGGAACTTAAGTTCGGCAACATGTTGCTCATCTTCATCATCTTCTTCTTTTTGTTGACACGTGTTGACAAACAGTTAAAACCTGTGCTGGAGCTCTCAGCGTGGGGACAGTCTCTGATTCTACAGTAAAATAAAACTGTAGAAGAAAACCTGAATACAGCAGAGCTCTTTAGATCTATTTATACAACCTAATGATAATTCACATGTAAATCTGAAAGTATGTGAGTTATTCTCATTATTCTGCTGTTAGAACTCAAAACGTGTTGAATGTGTTCCCTGCAGGTGATCTGGGATATTATTGGGAACAAACAGTTCTGCTCCTTCAAAGTCAAGTAAGTCTGAAACTGAATCTGCTGCTTATTTATTCATGTGTTCATTCATTTAGTTATTCAGTCATTCAGTATGATTGCTGTACTGTAATGTATGTATGCTTTTATTAATATCAGTGTGAAGTGACGCCACATTTTAATTCATTTTCTGACTCTGAGCAGTTTGTGTCTCTGATATATTACTTTATATTATTGTCACATTAGAGTCACAGAGCTCGTCATCAGTTTGTCTAAAGACTAACTTCTGTTTCACATTTAATTTACAGTAATGTGTTTGTTGTACAGGTTGGGACAAATTAAAGGAATAATCTGAGTAATTGAAGAATCATAACGAATGCAGACACTTCCACTGCCAGCGGTCACTGATTAGTTTGTGAATTATGTAAATCATAATCGATCATATCTGTGGTCTTTGGCAGCAGATATCAGAAGTTTTAAAAACTGAGACACTTTACTTCTCTTAATGTTGTTTTTCCTTTATTTTGTGTAATTTCTGGCTGCCTGGATAAAAAAGTAAAGTCCTAACCTGGAATATGAGCAAAGCTTCCAGCTCTGATCGGACACTTTAAGGTAACATGTTCTCTCTTCCTCGTGTTCAGGACGAAGAGTCAGGGCTTCTGCCGCAATGAGTACAACATCACGGGGTTGTGTAACCGCTCGTCGTGTCCGCTGGCCAACAGCCAGTACGCCACCATCAGAGAGGAGAAAGGTAAACGCTGCACACGCCTTTAACAGCTCGCCATCGTCCCCTTCCTGTGATCCACACTGCTTCAGTTTAGACAGACAGGGCTAACTGTTCCCCCTGTTTCCAGTCTT